CCCAAAAAAAAGAAAAAAATTGCCCAACCGCCAGAAAAATACCAATTTGTTTGCTTTCATAAAAAAAAAAATGAGCACCTGATTTCACCACGGTGCCTCACATATAACGAGAACAACGCCACCGGGGCTCCGAACATTTCGAACGGATAGGCTACCACACACACACACACACCACCAATGTACCTGTGAGTCAAGTCCCAGTGTGAGCAGCATGAGGAAGAAGAGGATGGCCCACATGGTGGTAGGTGGGAGGCTGGACACAGCCTCTGGGTACACCTCAAACGCCAGACCAGCGCCTTGTTAGTTTTTTTGGAGGAAAGAGAAACACAACAACTAACAATGACGGTCGTTTTTTGAGTAAAGAGAAGCACATAGACTAAATAATGGCCATTTTGAGTAAAGAGAAGCACACGGACTCAAATTATCACTTATGAGTAAAGAGAACACAGAGATATGACAATGGTCATTTTTGAGTAAAGAGAACACATAGATATAATGAAAATGGTCATTTTTGAGTAAAGAGAAGCACACAGACACAACAATGGTCGTTTTTTGAGTAAAGAGAAGCACACAGACACAATAGTGGTCGTTTTTGAATTAAGGCAATAATGGCCATATCGTGCAGGGAAGAAGCAAAGCAGATGAGACAGAAACCACTGGGGCAAAGTGAAGAAATAGGACCTGCCAATGGCGCCTTCCAACACAAGCGACCAACATAAATTTACGGTAATACGCATGTATCTTTATGGAATAATTTTATTATTACTTTTTTTTGGGGGGCTGGTGGGTTGTTTTTTTTACACTCCCATCGACACAATTTAGATAATTTAGGGGTGGGCTTCTGCTGTCCATGACCACCAGGGCCAACTCAAGCTGAGAAGGACAGAATACAACATCCCAGCAGAAAGACCGAGATACTCGATATTATACATTTTCAGCCCCCCTCGAAATTCGAAACTGGAGTTGCGTGAGACAGCGAAGCAACTAACAGCCACACCACAGACGTCGATCTGTCAGGGAAAAATAGCTCACATATGATTAATAAACATATAATAAGTAGGTTACATATTTACATATAAGTATGTTACATATTTATACGTAGGACGGTTACATTTATGACTATTGTAATATATAAATATATATATATATATATATATATTTATATATATATATATATATATATATATACAGAGAGAGTGAGAGAGTGAGAGAGTGAGAGTGAAAAAATAAAGAAAGTGAGAGTGATAGATAGATAGATAGATAGATAGATAGATAGATAGATAGATAGAGAGAGAGAGAGAGAGAGAGAGAGAGAGAGAGAGAGAGAGGAGGAGGAGGAGGAGGAGGAGGAGGAGGAGGAGGAGGAGGAGGAGGAGGAGGAGGAGGAAGGAAGGAAAACTACCCTGCAACCGTTCTTTCAGACACATGTCGAGACATACCTTCCGTAGCCACGTCCTTTATCTCCAGCCCCAGATCACCGGCCAGCGAACCCAGGAAGGAGAAGATGACGAACCCACCCAACACACAGGTCAGCGAGTCGCCGATAGCGACGATAAGAGAGTCCCTAGCAACGAAAAAAAACCCCAACATCTTCAGGTCTGACAGAGACTCAGTTAAAAAAAAAATGTTATCCGAGTATGCGAACAACAGTCCTGAATTAAATAAGAGTTTTACGGCACTTGCAACAAAACTTGGTAATTTAAGTGCTGAAGGTAAGAGGTGTTACGTACATAAGAGCAACACAGTAAGACATGGACTGGTCTGTGTATAGAGGAACGTGCAACGGCAGCTCGCAACCTTGAAGGCTGGAGGGTTATTACACGTCAACCTCTGGGCTAGAGATGATACCTCCAGGTGTAACTCACACAGAAAAGAAGGAGACGAGACAAAGACGATATATATTTGATAGGACAGGAAGGAGGCGAGGTAAGGACGATAGCTGTTTAATAGGACAGAAGGAGCAAACCACACACGGGCATCCTTCAACCACCCATAAGTGGTGTAGTAAACAGCTGGCCTCTAATGCAAAAGTTTCGGGTCGATTCCTTCGGTGGAATGACGCTGACCATTAACAAAGTCAGGGCCCATTGTACAGGGAGTGAACAACGGTCGAGATCTCCCTGGTACACAAAGCTGACCCCGATTTAGTAACCACCTGGCCAGAGAAGAATTGGCTGAAACAATTGTAGAACAAGGTACACAAGGTGCAGTCAGATTAAAATGTTTGCGAGTGCTCTAAATGAGGCATATTGTAACTGAAAATAGCCAAGACGGATTAAAAAACCCAGAAAAATAATATTCATGCATGATTTCACGGACTTTTTTCCCCTGTAAAACATGTGGTGAAATTGGTTTGACAGACCAAAATACGCGTACATTCTGTGAAAAGATTGTGAAAAAAAGATTGAATTGATAAAGACTTGATATTTTTCGTAATGTTTGTGAATATGCGACCTGCAAAATACCAAGTGTAAAAAAAAGCCATTCAAAGGGCAACAGCTTGGCCGTCTTTGGACCAATTTTAACAAAACTTCAATGAAATAAAGTTTAAATGAGGAGACGTAGTATTTTATCATTATCACCCAGTGCCAGATCTGTGACAGATATCAGCAATCATGGTTCTTCATTCATTCCTTTGCTCGGATGCTGTATAAAAAAGCAACGTTTCCCTGATCTTTCCCTGTTACCCATTAGTTTAGGTTCCCTAAGTATGTTGTTCTGGACCTACCCCTGCCTCGTTTGCCCTCAATTTTGCCAGTGAGAGCTAACTGTCCAAGACCCTTATGTCTATTCAGGTGTCCCAAAAACTGCATTTCTTTTAACATTGAGCGTCCTACGTGGGCTTTATCAAGCACTACCCCATTTGATTTCTTTTCCTTCCACGATACTCTTAGCAGTCTCCCAAGAAACCACATTTTGGTTGCTTCTATTTTATTTTCACTTTCTTTAGTGATTGTCCAGCATTCACAGCCATATAGAAGGGTTGACCAAACATAGCATTTCAGAACGTTCATTTTAGTGTTCATTGAGATGTTTCTATTTTTCAGGATTGGGCTCATTTTATTGAAACTAGCCTTAGCCATTGCAGTTCTCCGTTTTATTTCTGTGGAACATTTGGCATCAGATGTTATCATATATCCTAGATATTTAAACTGTTGGACTTGTTTGATCTTTTGACCTCTGCTAATGAGATTGCAACTAGGATTTGCTGCTTTCTTGGATATTACCATGCATTCTGTTTTCTTTCCATTCAACATTATTTTATAATATGAAAAAAAAGAAAGTCTAATTGTTGAAGAGGAGTATAGCTTTTTTTTCTATCACCTTTTTCTGGAATCTTTCCGCTCAGTCTATTAGTGTCCATTGCAAACTAAGATTGACTTGTTTTTCAGCTGCTTAAAATTCTTTCAGAACGTAACAGACACATTATTATGTCCGACCAGCAGCAGACCAAAGGAAATGTTGCAAATCATTTCGAACCGTCATACACATACCAGAAATACCTATTTAAATATTTCTTTGTATACAGGTTGTTGCCTGTCTTTTAAAGTTTCAGTTAAAGGAAACCTCATTGAAAAATGAGTATGAATTTATAACGAAGTTGTGCCCCACAACAGCATGTCTTCACGCATTGTCGAAAGACCAGAGTGCGCGTCCTCATTGAATTAACTGAGAGAATAACGTACTTTGTGTCTGGTGGGGAGTTACATGCAAACACCGCTAGCAACAGGGGCCAGAAAAGACCTTCTGTTTGTAGGCTTTTTATGATTACTGACGTTGGCAGAAGGATATTAAGTAAAAAGACTCAATAATCCTTCAGGTGCCATGAAAAATCGTGTGTTGGTAGGCTATTTATGTTTCCAGATGTTCGGCTAAAGGATATTAATCAAGTCAAAATGTTCCCAATAATTTGTCAGTTGTCAGGTTTGGAGCAGACCTTGAATATCACAATAGTCCACTTCTTCTTGCTGTCCGTCTTCCTGAACAGCTCACTTTATCCAAGTGTATTATTTTTTGCAAAGTTGCTCTGGCCATCTGGGCATGTGGTTTTCTGTCGTCCTCTGCTCTTCTTTACCTCTATCTTTCCATACACAGCAGCAGCAGTTTTCTAGCCCACTTGGTCTATTTATGTATTCAAAGAATCTCAATTATATATTTATAAGAAGATAAGAAATTCGTCCACGCGGAAACTGAAGCACAGAAGCAGAAATAATATTAAGTTATGTTCTATACATGGCGAAGATGGCGACGCTACTGATGATAGTAGTTGTTGTTGTTATGATGCTGCCGTGCTGAAACTGCTGCTGCCGCTGCTGCAACTGCTGCTGCCGCTGCTGCAACTGCTGCTGCTGCTGCTGCTGCTGCTGCTGCTGCTGATGATGATGATGAAGATGATAATGATCGTTGAAATAGTTTTTACAGCCTACCTTAGAATGTTGTTGTGGAATCTATTATAGCTGGATAGCGTGATCAATCCTCCGCCGGCGATAGACATGGAGAAGAAGATCTGGTTAGCTGCGTCCTTCCAGACCTGGAAAAAACGATTGAGAAGATTACGATTAACAAAAGAACGATTGAACTATTATTTAACCAACCTGCACTTAACTGTAAAGTGCACTTTGGACACAATAGTACGGAGGCGACAAATCTTTAGCAAAGTGAAGCTCGCCAGGCTGTGTTTTAGCGGGTACCGGCGTCCATGGGGTAGCGGCAAGGATCTTAACTGTATAAATTCTTCGGGTAGCGGTTAGCTAGACGCTCCGTTGTCGCACGCAGGAGAAGCAAGTTCGATACCCGAGTAGGGAGAAATGTTTATCGAGTATCTCGATCTTTCTGCTGGGATGTTGTATTCCTCTCAACCCGGGTTGACACAGACAGGTAGGGTTGGCAGCCCGTCTTCTAAATGATCTAAATTGTATTGATGGGGGCATAAAACACCCAGACAATTATAAAAAAGGTTGTGTTTTGACAGAGGGTGTTACAGAATGTTACCACTATTCTCATTGTAGATTTTGAGCCCATTTATTCTGTTTGCATTCATAAACTGTTGAGCATATTGTTAAAAAATGGTGCTGTTTTTAGAGTTGCCTATATTTTCTCACTTAAAGTCATTGGATTTTTGTTTACCAGATTCGGATCACAGCAAGCAGTGCATGTCCACAGCTGCCTAACCCCCCCCCCCTCTTTTTCCCCTTCTCCTCAAGATCCACTTCAAAGTTCATCTACTTAAAGTTCCATTCAGAATCAGGTTGGAGATCTGTCTAGCAGAATCATATAGGGTTTGAGTCTATTTGTTCTCCTCCCCCGCTTCCTCTCCATCACTATTCCAAGTGTATGGGAATTGCTGTTCATTTCCCTAAGGTCAGCCTCTCCTGGACAGATTCCCGAATAGTACATGGACCGAGCACCAATGAGCATAATATATCTACATACTCACGCACACTTGCACGCACGCACGCACGCACGCACGCACACGTACGCACGCACACACGCACGCACGTACGCACGCACGCACACACGCCCGCACGCCCGCCCGCACACACGTACGCACGCACGCACACACGCACGCACATACGCACGCACCTACAGGCACAAACATTTACTCACGACGCTCCCCCTTCCTGTCTATCTGTCTAATCTATGTGTCTGTGTGTCTGCCGCCCCCCCCCCCCACCCCTTCTCCTTTCTCCGTCACACAAATATTTAAAACTTATACACACATTGCACAAACCACCAATAGTTGGGCGGTTTAGCCCAAAAATTTAAAAGGATTTTGCATTATGTGATACAAGCACCAAATTTGGCACAGCGTTCTTTAATACATTGCAAACATTTTTAGATATTGGGCCACTCGGATTTCTCTCTTTATGGCCGCCATATTGGATTTCAAAATGGCAGCCATTTGAAATCTACATTTGCGATTATCTCTGGGTCAAATGCTGCTATTGACTTCATTTTGGTGTCTAAATGTATGTTTTGGGGGGCAAGGAATCTAATGGTAACCATCTGCATAGCGTATTTTTACTAATGGGCCGCCATATTGAATTTCAAAATGGCCGCCATTTGAAATCTACATTTGCGAGTATCTCTGGGTCAAATGCTGCTATTGACTTCATTTTGGTGTCTAAATGTATGTTTTGGGGGGTAAGGAATCCTATGATGCCAATTTCACAATCAAATGCACAATCTAATGCACTAATCTAAATCAAAGACCCAAATCTAAAATTCTAATGCACAAATCTATTCCAATGCACAATTCAATGCACAACCCAATGGCACCAATTTCAACGTAATGTTATCTTTCACACTGTGTTTTATAAAATGATCTAGGAACATAATAGATTGAACACGATACTTTGAAAAGAATGATTATATGAAAGCATGTTGATTGATTGATTGAGTGTGTGTTTTACGGCACTATCGACTCAATTTTGAAAGCATGTTAAGTGGGTGTAAAAGTCTTAAGTCTGTAAATGTCGTAGGTACACTTCTGACATGTTACATGGTCTAATTTCTGAGGCTAGGTGTATACTGACATTCTTCAATGGTCTGGTATCTGAGGCTAGGTAGATATCGGTACTGAAGATACATGTACATAAACAGTGTCATGCTAACAAGTTCAGCACTGCCACAAGTACATGTATGTTGTGGACTCATCTTCCTGTGCAGTCCCTGTCACACACACAGGGGGCAGTCTTCTTGCATTTGCAGAGACTCACACACCATAAATGGCACTTGCAAGAAACCAGCTCAATGCAGCTGTGAGCTGCCTCGGGTAGCCTGGTCCAGTATGGTGTGTACTGTCCTCCAGTCATTGACCAACACTAGTTGTTTTGTAGAGGGAGCTCTGGTGCTGGCAAAAGTATCTGATCCCACACATTTCCACCTCAATACACCCCCATCTTGAAATGTTCCTCTAAAGCTGCCTACGTTGGAGGGATCAGCTGCACATCGTTCTCCCTTGCGAAAAGTTTCCTCCTGGCCGTGTCATTATCCATGCATTTGCTGGTTCCATCATACAACAGGATCACGAACCTTTTGATGATGGACATTGCATCGTTTGGCATGTCATGCGGTGCAGAGGACACCAGCAGCAGCGCCTCAGTGAGTTCTGGCAGTACCGTCCTGACTGCCCACACAGTCTTCTTGCCATATGGGATGAAGATCTTAGGAGCGTACTCTTCAAATATCTTTAATTTAATGCAGCCAGTCTGGGCGATGGCTGCTCCATCAAGAAGTACACAGGTAGTGACAGGAGTCTCTGTCTTGGCGTCGAAGATTTCTTCAAAGCCTGTGATGAGATCATTCTTTGTACAAGTGAAGAGGTTTCCACCAGCAGACAGTGCAAGAGAACATGCCTGTTTCTTGTGACGAAAGAACTCCTCAAGGTTTCCATCCCTCATCTGCCAGCCAATGTACAGGCATGCAACGAGTTCACGGTCATTTTTGACAGAGGCGAACTGTTCCTAACATTTACTCTTGTTTCTTGGAGTGGAAGTGCTGAATACCTTCAGCTTTGTCACGAGGAGTGGGGTCGCCCACGGCCTTTGTTCTGTCCCACAGACACTCTCTGGTGAAAGCCTCGGGCTTCTCTAGTCCAATCCTCTTGGCTTTCAACACGGTCTCCACGGCAGAATGCCCTGAGATGTCCTTTGTGTCCAGTATGCTTAGATCCTGACTCTCCTCCTCGAATGGGTTGCCCATCTCCTTTATAATACTGTCGAGACAGCGAACATCTTTCACAAATGAGGCATTCTCCAGTATTGGTTCCCGTCCTGGAATTCTTCAATCACCCTAGCATTTTCTGGTCTTGCAACCACCCAGCGACGAAGGGCAATAGGGTTGTCAATGAGTCCAACTGCACCACCGTTTCCTTTGATGCAGGCATTATTCTGCTCATGTGCCTGGTCAATCGGGATTAAAGAGAACACCCTCTGTGTTTTCTCAACTGTGAAATGGCCGTCACTGAATTTCCTGGCTACGTCTGGGTGTTTGGTAGTGAGTTCGGCGATGTTCTTCAGGTGCATTGGTATCCACCTAGCATAGTATGTAGGATCTAGCGCGTGGAACTGTCAGAGCATCGAGGTACATCATCAATGATCCCTGCCTGAGAGAACGCACATACACTAGAATCAACAGTTCTTGTTCCAGCACAGCTGCCCAGTAGCAAAACTGGGAGATGTTGTCTCGTCTCTGGCGTCACCAGTCTTCAAACGCGGGAATGTCCTCTGCATCCATGGTTTCTCCCAGACAGTAGTGGTAGTAGGCATGGCGTGGCAGGATGTACACTGCTGCTGCAGTCACTTGATGTACTCTTCTTGTGTGCAAGACATGAGATGCTCGCAGGAATGAGTCTGCTGTCCTTGGTGTCGCAATCTCGGCTTGCACAAGTGCTTGCCACCCAACCACTTTCTTGCAGCGAGTCCCCCAGTGTTTTCAGTACTGCCATCTCTATGTGGAGACCACCAAACATCACCACTATATGGTCTTCACCATAACTCTCTGGACACTTTCACTTTATCTGCTTGGCCAAAGCAAACAGTGGCTGATCCAATGTGGCCACTGGTGTCTGTCCAGGATTCAGGTGTTCTACAGCTTTTTTCACAACGTCCATTGAATGCTTGATCATTGCCACAGTGTGGGCACTTTCCAGGAAGAGTGGAAGCAGTGACGTGGGGCAGATGACTCTAACCTCTTGTGGCTGTCGGCTGGCATGAAATGCAGCCCAAGATGTATTTTCATTGTCCACTGTACTAGTGTTGTCTCCCAGGGCGTGTTTTGCATTGCCTAACCAATGGTATTTTTCATCAGTCTACTGTTTGAAGTCTCTTCTGGTCAATGAGGTAACTCCAGCACCTGGGACAGGCGACGTCTTGATGTTGCTAGTGACAGGGTGTACATCAGTATAATAGTGCGGCAAAGGGGCGACAGTCTTGGACCGTGCATCCCCAGATTCTCCCACAACGAATATGCTCCCATTTACTCCTTCACCAGTGCAAGAAGGATGTGCAAGGGAGATAACGGCACTTTGGAAGGAGTCTTTTGGTGTCGTTGCACTAGGATTGTGATCTATGTTATCTACAGCGGCAATTGTGAACTCTTCGCCACGCACTTTTGGAGGTCAGACCACTTGTTCTCGGTAAAATTGTTGGCAGACATGGTTGCCCATCTCTGCTGAGAGCTGGACCACTCTGTCATAAGAGATACTCTGGCCAAGGTGTGGCAGTCTGTCGTCCAATTCCTTCTTGTGTGTAAGACCATGCAACATCATGCCAATGTATGTTGGAAGTGGGGTCTCCTGTGCAACACTGTGCCTGCCACAGGTGGATGATGTGGTGCCACGTGTTCGCTTGTGTTTTACGCAGTTGAACTTCAGTATCTAGGCTGCAGTAATTGCTGCTGGGTTAGTGTCTGCCATCTGGTCCTTGATGCTGGGTCTCTCTGGGATCATGCTGACTAAAGCAAGCAGCAATGGTTGTAATAGATTCTTCTTGGCATCCTCCAGGGCACACTGTGAAGGGCTTGGCTTCTCCAAACATGTGACGGTGACAGGATAACGACTAATGTAGATCGAGAAGCAGCCATGTAATGTAAAGCAGCCATTTTGAAATCCATTAGTACAAATACGCAATGCAGATTGTTACCATTGTCTTGCTTGACCCCAAAAACATACATTTAGACACCAAAATGAAGTCAATAGCAGCATTTGACCCAGAGATAATCGCAAATGTAGATTTCAAATGGCGGCCATTTTGAAATCCAATATGGCGGCCATTAAGAGAGAAATTCGAGTGGCCCAATATCTGAAAATGGTTTCAATTAATGTACATTTGTGCCAAATTTGGTGCTTGTATCACAAAATGCAGAATAGGTTTGCTAAGCGGCCCCACTACTATCCTCACGAACACACACACACACACAC